CCCCCAACCCTATTTTGAATCTCCAACCCTGTTTTCCGTGACACGTGACAAAATGGGGGCCCTAAGCGAAGGCACGCACGGTGAAAACAGTGTTACAATCTGAGATCCTGTTTTGAATCTCCAACCCTGTTTCCTGTGACACGTGACAATATGGGGGTCCTAACCAAGACATACACGGTAAAAACAGGGATTCAATCCCCAACCCTGTTTTGAATCTCCAGCCCTGTTTTCTGTGACACGTGACAAAATGGGGGCCCTAACCCTAACCCTAACCCTAACCCACACTTGACAAATTCTAACCCTAACCCTAACCCTAACCCAAGACATAAATGGCAAAAACAGAGATTTAATCCCCAACCCTGTTTTGAATCTCCAACCCTGTTTTCCGTGACACGTGACAAAATGGGGGCCCTAAGCGAAGGCACGCACGGTGAAAACAGTGTTACAATCTGAGATCCTGTTTTGAATCTCCAACCCTGTTTCCTGTGACACGTGACAATATGGGGGTCCTAACCAAGACATACACGGTGAAAACAGGGATTCAATCCCCAACCCTGTTTTGAATCTCCAACCCTGTTGTCTGTGACACGTGACAAAAAAGGGGCCCTAACCCATGACATACACGTGAAAACAGTGTTACAATCTGAGATCCTGTATTGAATCTCCCACCCTGTTTTCTGTGACACGTGACAATATGGGGGCCCTAAGGCAAGGCACCCACCGTGAAAACAGTGTTACAATCTGAGATCCTGTTTTGAATCTCCAACCCTATTTCCTGTGACACGTGACAAAAGGGGGGCCTAACCAAGACATACACGGTGAAAACAGGGATTCAATCCCCAACCCTGTTTTGAATCTCCAACCCTGTTTTCTGTGACACGTGACAAAATGGGGGCCCTAACCTAACCCTAAGCTGCCGCAACAACAGCGACCCAGTTCAGAGAGAGAGAGAGAGAGAGAGAGAGAGAGAGAGAGAGCGTACGCCGCCCACCAGAGAGCCTCGAAGCTGATGCGATAGCTGATGACAGAGAGAAAGAGGGTGCGCCCCTCGGCTAAACAGAGAGTCTGGCAGCCGAATGAACCCTTTCAGACCAATACACACGCTTTCCCAAGCAGGTCTTGGTTCCTTGCCCTGCTGCTTATTTAGTCACTACGCAGCGCTGGGTGGGTTGGTCTGCTGAGTTTTAGAAGCAAGACTAGTTGTGGCCGTTGGAGAGCTATTAACTTAGATATTTTCTCATCCTCTGTGCATGATCTGTCGAGGCAGCGCCCGCCATTGTCCTGTGCTCTGCTCGCGACGGCTACTACTCCCATGCAGTGCGGGCTGCGGGCTCTCTGCATGCTATCCGAATACTGTAATGATACTGGCGGTCACACGGTTCTGTTGGATAGAGAGAAAGCCACACCGTACATGCATGTATGTGTGTGTGTATGATATGCCATGTGGTATGTCATAGAGGTGACTCGTCAAAATCAAAAAGGACTATGTATCAGGGTGCCTAAACGACTCACAGCAGCAGTCGATCCAGGGTACTGGCTTTCTTTGCGCATCTAGTGGAAAAACTCGCCAGTTAATCGAGGGCGGGATGGTCGAGTAAGGTCGAGTCAAACACGTGACGGATCGCAGAACTTTTCCTACAAAACCCGGGGTTTCCTCCTTTTCCTTTTTCTTTTTTTTTGTCATGCACCACCAGTAAAAAATCGCTTGCAGAAGTACAAATACCAGCTATGGGTCTTCACTGATTATTTTACCCTCTCTGGACTGATCATTTACAACATGCCCAAAATAGACTACTGTAGTTGAGCGAGCTAGACGACTGATCATTCAAATGTCTTTGTCTACACAGCTAACCTGCCCTACTGACAGCAGCGGGACCACCCATCAACCCTTCTACGACCCTGTCTGTGCCCACCACCCTGTCCCCGGCTTCCCTCATGGCCTACAGGTGGAGACAGCTGTTGCGTGTGCAGAAGTATACTGGTGTCTTTCTCTGCACTTCTCCCTCTCCCGCTCGCTCTCGCTTTCATCTTTTTTTTGGCGAAAAAATAGATCTGACAGTCCAGACTAAGACCCAGGGGGGTTAACAAGCGGAGCCCCCGCACACACGACGATGACAAAAGGTGGGACGCCAGTTCTGGAGATGATGATGTGGTATGTACGCTATTTCTGCGGGAAGCCCCGATGAAGTAGTTTGAACGACTTGTACAAAATCTGTAGTCTACATAGATAGATGCCTCGTCCACGCATCGCGCTGCTACTCACTCTGTGTAGGCTACCCTTCCTTCGATGTGCGAGCTACGTTTGGCCAACAGAAACATATCATACCTTGTGGGCCGTTGCGAACACGTAGAATGGGTGCGCGAGCACAAACCCTAACCAAATTATCAACCCCACATGCATCTCCCGAAAGTGCCCTTGCTCGTCGAAAGACTCTTTAATACACCAAATCTGAAGGCACAGGGCAACGACGAGCTCGACAAGCACACAGCGGCAATAGTGCAGCATCGTGATGAGCGGGGTGTGACCCTCGTCACCGAAAGGGCTCCAGCCACCAACCCCGTATGCTATCGACACGAGAGCTCGAATTGTTCTGGCTGTACCGTAGTAGATGTCGATCGCTCCAATGTACATGTCGTGTACTGTCAGGAACATCCCCGAAGAGAACGAGGTCGCCGTTACTATCTTGACGACAAATGGAACAAGAAGAATCTCCAACATGTAGATTTCCGAGACGAACAACCTGGCGTTTCCGCCTAGGTTCGAGTACAACAAGATTGCAAGAACGACCAGAGGCCGTATGGCGATCACCCGGACATTAAAGGTTCCAGTGTGCACCGTGGATCTCGACGCGAATGAGCTGTAGAACGGAATGCACGACGAGTTCGAGAACCGACTGCAGAAGTTCGCAGGAAGGCCGTATGACCAAGCGAACAAATACTTGCTCAGGATCAAGTCGCCTCGGTCCCACCGGCTCTGCCGTAGATGCCACTCCAGGCAAGTGCCCGGAAATCCTTCAATAATCTCTAGCGTGGGGTCCTTGATGCACGTCATGATGCTGCTCTCGATGATGTCGTGGCTCACAAGGTCCCTGCAACACACGTGTGCGATACAGTATGCGCGGACAACAATTTTTAATTCATTTGGAGTCGAGCGACGCACAGTTGATCGCGACACAACCGCACGCAACCACCTGCTGATGATACGTGATACGCGCAAATCAAATCTAATGCGTTCGTTATTTGCCATTTCACACCACACAAGATAATGCACCCGACCTGGCCATAACCGTTTACGCACCGGGTGTGTTGTCGTTTCGTGGTGTGCGGGACGTGTGAAGTGATCCAAGTGACAAGTAGTGGGGGTCAGGTTGTGAAAAAATTGGGGGGTTTGACAACGACGGGTTGCGGCAAGAGGGTGGCCTGAACGTACACGAAGGCTTGCGGCGAAGGTGCGTGTGGGTGTGTATGTGTGTGTGTGAAAGCAACAACAGGGGTGGGCGTACAGTAGATGAACTCACACCACCTTCAGCTCGTTCTAGTCAAGAATGGACGCCAAAGAAAGCATCCTCGTAGATTCTAGCATCCGAGGAAAGAGGTGCCCAAACTGGGGTACTGTAGTAAGAGCCAATACCGGATCGGGCGAGAGATCGTAAACCTTACCACGCTTGCCGTGTGGACACGGTAAATCACACGAACGCAGCGTGGAGAGACGAGAGAGAGATACGTACTGTAGTTGCCCGAAACAAGTATTCTACACGTATGTACGTTCGCTACACCCAAAGGAGAGAGTGAGGTCCGTCATACCACCCTTCTTATCCCTATGGCATTCCAAGAGACGGCAAGCAGACGAGGGGTTGCCCTTCCTGGATGAAGGGAGGGTACAGTGACAATGCATACCCGCGAGCATCCTCGATAATCTACTACCACTGCTGTGTGGCCCCTTCCGAGCGCAAAGAAAAACGGGTGAGGGAGGGGGCATCTCAGCATTTGTTTGGAGCCCCGATCAGGGGTGGAACCTCAACGTCGGGAAGGAAGGATCTGGCGGATGTCTGCCATACGGTTAGCCTCTCTGTGTGGAGCTCTAATAAGGCGACCTGGCAGGTGACGTATCTTGAGGATGGAGTTGAAAGTACTACTGTAGCATTAGCTCTGGTTTTCTGCGGGATGTATGTTTGCACGTGTGTGGGCCACGGCAAGAACACAGCGTCGCTATCGGGGCCATCAATACATAGGCGGCAACCATGTTTTCGTTGGTATATCCAGTGTTCAAGACGATGAACTTCAAGGAAAAAAAAAAACGCCAGGAGATGCCCAGGGGTTAGCTCACCTAGGCAGCCGAGTGCCTTCCTCTGTCGTGTACGTCTGGCAGTTGTATCCCAGAAGCAGCTCGTTGTACTTGGTTCGCCGGATAACGCCTTTCCCGAAGAACGTCGCGGAAGGAAAGAACACTGATCGAAAAGCGGCCATCTTCGAGCCCATATCGTGAGATGCCATCGTGAAAGATCCGTAAAAGGTGTCAGATCCGTCGGACGTCCGGGTATCAATGTCGGGAGAGACGATAGCGGGCTGGATGATGGCAATGTCGCAGTCGCTTTGTTTGTAGAGTGAGTTCGCTTTGTCAAAGAAGGCAGCTCCCAAGACGTTATCCTTGTCGAGAATAACCAGACGGTCGAACTCGAGATGGCCCTTAAAGAAGTCGACATCCGAGGACGCATCAAAGCACCCGGTTCCATCCTCTGGGAGGGCATCCTTGTACAAAGCGACACTGTTCTCTCCACCGGTCCCGTCGTGGCCGTTGATCAACATGATAAAATCGAGGTACTGCCCGTACTTGTACAGTATTGACCTGTTCCGGCGAAGGTACCTGCACACAACTCCATCCTCTGAGTGCAACGCGTTCCACGAGTCGATGGCCTCCCTCTCCCCCGCGTACAACTCTTCATCGGACGTCCCACTGAGAATTAGGTAAACGGCGTTGGGGTAGTCCTTGTTGCTCTGCCACGATTTTTCCATACTCGCCAGAGTGTCGTCTATGTCCTCAGCCGCCTTGCTCTTGAGACAGTAAACAACGATGTAAGGTTCACCGCACTCTGGAGCTTCGAGAAGACCAGTTTTCATTTCCTTCGGCTTGTCAAATCCGTGCAGCTTCGCGGCTCCGAGAAGGATGCAGATGTACTCGGCTGCAATGTCAGTGACGACGATGTTTGTCGCCATCGCCGACAGCCACAGGATGACCACTGTTACAAGGAGGAGTGACTTCGATACCTCATAACCACCTTCCCAGCGAGACGTGAAGGATAGAATTACAGCAATAAGGTTGAGCGTGAAGATGATGGCCCAGCATGTCTTGTACACCATGTGCTTCATGAGAGACATGTTCCCGCGAACGCAACGTTCTTCTCCTGAGAAGAAGACAAGGGATGGTACAACAGACAGGAAGGCGAAACAATCGTCATTCATCCCAAGCATTCCCAATACTTCTGGGCGACAGCAAGCAGTGGCCGCCCACGTCTAACCACCACCACCACCGGGGAAGCTTTCAAAACAAGGTACATACTGGAGGCGAGAGGAGTTGGGTGGCTCTGGACCCCGCCATTTATATGTAGATCGATTCCTAAATACGCCCCAACATTGGTGGCGGGCGGCAACTTGATGCAAATGGCTTGGTGCGGGGTTACCATGATCGGTCGCATATTGTGTTCTGATTTGGCATCGACCGCAGTAGTAACAGGATGGACGGGGAATGAAATTACGCCAGCGGTTATTTTCTGGGAAAACAAACAAACGCGGGCACGCTTGCTAGTCATCGGTTGTGTGTGTGTCGATTACTTTCCTGTGACTCCAAGCCCATATCACGCAACACACGGAACTCGATACAAAAATCACCACCTTCCTTACGGGGGGTGAATGGCCCATATCCACCTGATGAACCGTTCGGGTGTGTACACACGGCGGTTCCTACTTAAGGGACATATGGTGATGCTAGAGGCGAAAGAGTCAGCAACCGTCGTTATGGCAAGGGAGATGGACAGCACGTTTAAAGCAGCAGACAACTATGTGCCACTCCCAACACCTGAACTTGAATCTAGCTGTGAGGGAGACGAATCTATCCAGCTCGTATTCAGCAACTCTGAGACGGTGTCGGGTCAATCGGTGTTGGCGGGAAATCGTTTCGAGTCGTTGGTCGAAGACAGTGAGGATGACCAGTTTCCTCCGTTACCATCGATGCAACGCGTGACCAAGCCATGGCAGGTGGTGGGAGATCAAAGCATAAGAGGTTGGACCCACTCTCCCCTCAAAATCTCTATCCCTCTCCAAATGGTGGCTTTGGCTGAGAAACACCACGAGGAGCAACGAAAGGCTTTCGAGCAAAGTAGACTTGATCTTAGTGGGGTAAAGCGCGAATTCGAACATCAGAAGGGCACTCTGTATCTAACCTTGAGAAGAACGGGGATAACGTACAGAAGGACCCGGAAATCAAGAGGTTGACCACAGATATCACAAACCTTGCGCAGGAAGAGGAATAGGGCAAGAAGAAAGTGAAGGAGGCAGAGAGGAAGAAGGCTGATTACGAGCGAGAGGTACAGACGGAGAAAACAAACCTCGAAGGCGTTAAGACCGAACACAAAAGCCAAACTCTAGGAACGTTCCGACATGAGGAAAACGAATGGTGGGGCAAGGCTGAAAACAACCCTAGACAGGGCGCTGGAAGAACTAGAGCGTTTGAGGGAGAAGTTCGGTGCGGCGAATTACGAGAATCTGGGACGCAGAAAGGACGAAGAAGCTGCGCGAAGTGCTCTGCTCACTGCCCAACAGGTGGCGGGGATTGAGATTCTACCCATGCCGGAACCTGCTACCGAAAAGACAAAGGTCAAGAAGGGCCAGCCACAGCTCTCAGAACAGGGGGAAGGGGAGGGGGCAAAGGCGGGAGGGGGAGAAAGGTCAAGGAAGGGGGATGACACTAAGGTGGAAGGAACAAGGGTGACAGGGGGTAAGGGTTAGGGTTGGGGTACATTATTCCCCAACATAGTGCCGTCCAGTCCAGAAGACTCGAAAGACAGCGTGTACAAGGAGATTCTGGCAACGTACCCTGGTCTAGATGGGAAGGCACTCGCAGATAAGGCGAAGGAGGAGGAAAAGAGAGCCGAATACGACGAGGCAATGAGGCAGAAGGAAGGGGAGGGTTATTCCTCTAGCCGGGAAAGTGTGGCAAGTGCCTCATCCTCCCAACAGGGAAAGCGGTGGAGGAGAGGCAAGGGGCCAGGTCGGGCAGGGTCTGGTTTTGGTACCCTTTCATTATCTAGTTCCTCTCCGAGGGGGGGGCGACGGGGCGGGTGGCACAAGTCAGGAAGGGGATCCCCCAGAAGGAACGGTTTCCAGGGTGGAGGCAGGGGCAACCAAGGAGGTAGAGGTATGCCAAGGGATTCCAGGGGTGGTGGTCGAGGCGGAGAGGGTATGGTGGAAGAGAGGGAAGGGCAAATGTCCATCAAGGGCTGCACCACCATGACTGGCAGGCACCACCACCTCCGCAGTGGCAGCCGTGGCAGCCGCAACAGCAGCCGCAGCAGCAGCAGTGGGAACAGCAACAGCAACAGCCACCGCCGCAGATGCAGGCGCCACAGCAGTACTGGTCACAGGGAGGAGGGGGGTCCTCAAGGGGGCACGGTCTACCGCGACCAGCAAGGCAACCTTCACACTGGAACGTGGGTGGGAGATGACAGGGGGGCAACGTGTCTGTCAAGGAGGAAGTGAAGGAGGAGGAGGTGTTGAGGGAAGAAAATACCACACCCTTCGATGACAAGCTCGAAACAGAGTTCCGGGAAGAGTTGTCGAAGAAAGAGAAGGAAATTGAAACTCTGAAGCACAAGTTGGCTGAAATGGGAGGTCAGTTCAAACAGCTGAGCCTCCAGGACACGGACGTAAAACCTCAAGCATGTGTAACTGAACCTAGTGTGGAGGCAAACAAGAGCAGGAAGATGTTGTGTCTCAGTCAGCGCCAGTAGCGACGGTTAAGAAAGAACCGGACAGTGTCACGATTCAGCGGTTGACCTCGAGGGAGAAACAAGAGATCATGACGGGTTACGTGACAATGAACATGAAGGATTGGACTAAGCTCCCTTGGATACCACTCTCTGATTCGCCGGGAGAGTTGGTTTCTTTCAACAGAAGGTTGGAAGATACGGGCAACGATGTGCTTTTGGCGGTGGGGGATTACACTGGTTGGTGGGTGCCGGGATGGCAAAGACCTGTGTACAGACATCTGATCACTTCCATCACCCGATCCATGTCCCCTGCCCAGACGATGACGTTCCGCGAGAAGATAGACAAGGTCATTTTGGATACGTCGAAGAAGATGGAAGAAGGGTCGACGGGTAGGGAGGCTTTGGCATTCTTGACTTCGGCGTTGGGGAGGGTGGTGAGTTCATCCTCGCCCGAGAAGTTGGTGTACGACTTGGAGACCTTTGCGGGACGGACTGGAACGCCGTATAGTGAGTACCTGGCTACCTTGCAGGGGGTGGTGCACAATGCTCGGAACTTGGAAATTGTGACGCCGCAGGATAACACAATTCAACTGGCAGTCAGAGAGAGTGTGTCCGATCAATACAGTGTTCTGACCGCTCCCGTGTTTAAGGGCAAGGAGTTGGGAGTGGTGCCGTTCGATGACATCGACACCTTGATGCATGACTTGTGGAATTTCGAGGCGGTGAAGGGGGGGGGCAACGACTCCGACGCGGAGGATGGCTCAGGTGAAGGATTCCTCTGGGGGGAGGCAGGGACAGAGAGGGGATGGAGGAGGAAGGACAGGGTCAAGTGGAACGAATACCTTTCGGTCCGCGTCTCCTGGTAGGTCGGATGGTGGATATGGGGGGGAGGAGGGTGATGACGGCGGAGGACATGGATTACGAGGACGAATGTGCAGAGTTCAACAGAGTCTATGACATTCACGCGTTGCCTCCCACAAACAGCCAAGTGAATGATTGCCCTTTCTTCGCGTGGTTGACGTCTGTCGGGGAAAAGAACAGGCGCAGGCGGGCGTTCGAGTCAAGGTGTTTGAACTGTGGTAATGAGGGACACTTGTGCTAGATTGTGACAAGGGTTGCAATAAGGCCTCAAACATGTTGAACCGAAATTTAGCGAATGGGACAAAGGCGGAAGTCAGGGCAAGTTGGGATCGGTGGTTGAATCGCCTGAAGCAATGGCAAGCACATCGTATGGAGGAGAGGAGTAGGGAAAGGAATAACTGATGGTGCGAAGGTCAGTTGGCCAGCTTGCCGGTAGTACCTTGGCCGAACTGCTTTGTGGGTAATCAAGCAGGGGGAGAAGAGAAAAAGGGAGGAAGACGCGAATCGTGAAAGGGGTGAGCGGTATTGCGAGAACAGAAAGAAAGAACGCGGGGTGGAGGTGAAGGGTGAAAGGGGTGAAAAGTATTGCGAGAACGAAAAGGAATCTTGCGGGGTAAGGGTGCAGGGTGAAGGAGGTCCCGGGTATGGTGATGACGAAAAGAAATATCGCGGGCAGAAGGGAAGAAAGCAGAGCCAAGGACCGGGATCAAAGAAGACTCTCGGGGGGGCTGGGGTAAAGGTGAAACAATCATCACGCGCGAACATCGAAGAGGACTCGGACGGTGGGATTGTAGAGGAGGAGGCGGGCCGATCGGTGGTGCACAACACCGAGGGTGATGGCCTGGCGACGGGGAGCGTCTCGCCAAACCACGGTAAGCGACGTTTTTCAGTATCTATGGAGCATTCCCAGAGTTAGGGTTAGGGGGTTAGTCATTATTCCAAACTACAAGTGGTTTCGGGTGCTGATAAATTGAACTGCACGGGTGTAGGCTATGGGAGCAAGAATGTATTGGGGAGTAGCCCCCACAAGAAACTCTTGGTCATAGTATGTCGCAAGATTCACGTGCACAGCTTCAGGAAAGAATCACTAGTAAGACACACAGGGATTTTCCATAAGTAGGGGTGCCGAGCACGCCCCCTTGGTTAGATCAAACGAAGTCTAGCATTGGCACAATGGGAAATGTTATTGACAACGCAAAACCAGTGGGGAATGCGTTAAACACTCGAAGGAAGGAAATACGCAAGGCGAATTCTCCGACAGCAGTGAGGTGTCGGCTGGATCCTCAAGCGGAGCACACTGCTGGTCGCAATGGCGCCAAAAAGGGGTCGATTAATAGGGACACTAGAAAGGAAAAAACCGTTACCGTTGATCGTGCTGGGGGCAAGCAAAACAATGGAACTGTTGCTTTACCAGTGATAGGAGAAGAGGGCGTGACAGGGGATGCATCCGCCTATGAAAATTTTCTCAAGCGTGAGGTTGAGGTAACAGCGCAGGAGGGAGGAAATTTTGGTGAAGCACAGGAAGGAACAGAT